TTATATTACGATAAATTAATATGTTCCTTTAATGAAATATATTTTAATAGAATTTTAGGATTAATATTATCTCCAAAAGAAAATTTTTTAAAATTCAAAAATTATTCTTTGTTTTAACTCTTAAAATTAAATAAAATTATTAAAATCTATATAATATCCTGCTATAATATTGATTTCTTAAATGAAGAACTTTAGACATATCCATAAATTGATATAAAAAAGGAATAATTATAACTGAACCTATTTATGATTAAAAATTTACATTTATATAAAATGTATATAATTTTAATTATAATTAAAAAATGAATTCAGGAATTCATTTAATGATGATTTAACAAAAATAAAATATTACTAAATGTAATGTTACTATTTATAGTTCAAAATATTTTTCTGTACGAACATAAATATATAACTTTATGTAAGAAATGATGAATTCATTTAAAATAGATACAGATGTTATGATAAAATTATCTATTAGGGTAACGGAATAAATAGAAATTTAACATTTTATTATTTTCTATTTATATAAGCATATATATTTCAATATTTTTATATTATTTAATATAAAATGCATACACCTTAAAATACATGAAAATATTATTTAATAGAAAAATACTCACAAAAGAAAAAATATAGAAATATAATTATATAGAATATATATTATTCATATTTCTTCCAATGTTTTAAGCATTAAAAAAAAATTTCTTTTATTAAAAAATTTATAAATTCCTACATAGTCTAATATATTAAATTCCTATAGGTATATATTATATAACATCTCACGTAAATATAAATTATGCCTGTATAAATAAAATAAATGAAACATATAAACAAAATATAGCTTTTATATAAAAAATATGTATGTTGGATATGATATAATATAACCACATATGGAACAATATTTAATTATGTACTAATCTACATTAAATATATTATGAATTAATAAATAAAAAAATAAATATTTATGTCAATTTATAGTATTAAATTAACTCAAAACATACAAACACTATAAAAAATAAATATTCATATGATTTAGATAGCAGAAATAAAAAAAATATTGCTATAGAACAAATTATGATAGTAATATGTTTAATTATTTACTTTATGAGCATAACATTATTACCAAAAAAAACAAACTTATAGATGTATACCTGATGATAAATATAGAGAATGTGTTATCACATTTTTTCGTAAATATATATTTATCATATCATAAATATATATAAAATTTATTATTATAAATTTGATTAAATAATTAACTAATAGTAGATATATAATAATATATCATGGAGCCAGGTTTAAACCTTCAAGATTTAATAGAAAAAATTTATGTTATAATAATTAATAATAATAAAATATAATAATGATATATATAATAAGAAATAACTACTATATAAGGATCCTTATTAAAATTATATATATGCGATCATTAAAAATGTCTTATTTAATTTATTTGTACATTAAATTATTCTATAAAACTTTTAATAATATTCCCAATAATATATTTTAACATTTTTTTATAGAATGATTGCAAGTATGATAATGATCTATCTAGAAGTACATTTTTTAATGAATTGAATGATTCCTTTGGAAAATATAATGCAATAGGATTTTCTATAACTCCAAAATTTGATAAAGTTTTGTATCCAGATTTATTTAAATACTATCTATTTTTAAAATCAATTATTAATGATCTATTTGTTCATAAACATATATGTAAATATTTTAATGAATGGTTAGACCAAAAGAAAATTGAATATACAGGTAAATATTCTAAATGTAAGGAAACTAATTTATGGGATGACCATATAGAGACAATTTTGCAGGAAAAAACAATAACACCGTCATACAGAACTTATGTGTGTGAAAGGAATTTTACCAAGAAATTATGCGTTTTACCATCAACATTAAGTAATGAAACATTAGATTTAGAACCAAAAAGGGCTGAAAATTTATTCTATCCACCAACGGGTGATAGAAATTCTTTCTTACAAGCAAGAAATTCAAATATTATACTTCCTTCATCAATAAGAACAATTTTGTCAACTTGTTTATCACTCGTAATAACAATTCTTTTTACATTTTCCTTTTTCTATAATGTAATGTCAAAATTATTGTGAAATATTATAAGTACGTTTTAAAAAATAACTGATATTATATTAATGTTTGACTATTATTAATACATAATAACTTTACCATTACTAAATTTTTTATATATAGTTTTCTAAAATAAAGCAATATTTATATAATAAATATAAAGGAAACAGCTTAATAAGGAAATATATACAAAATAAGTATCTCTTAAAGAATAATGATATTTCTGCATTAGGTTCAGAAAATGAGAGAATTAATATAATTTATTTATCGGGGAAAAATTATTAATTATAATACATGTCAATATAATTTATTTAATTATACTATACTGTAATTATAATAAACATTATGAAATAAGTATATTATGAAAAACAGATAATAGTTATGTAACAAAACAAAATTATAATGTTGTTATAAGACATGTAAATTCAGTGAGGCACGATCATGTAAGAACAAGTGCTAATCTGTAAGTTATATAATTCAATATTCTAAAATAGCTTTATGTAATAAAATTTAATATAATTGTATCATAAAAATAAGGAGATGAACTATTTTTTGTAATAAAAAAATTATCATAACATCCAGAAAATATATATTTGAAAATTAATTATTAACGTTATTATTTAGTATTTTGTCATATATGTTTAAATTTAAACCTATTATAGGATATGGTACTATATGCAGAAATAATATAAACTCATTTAATTATTATAAAAATTAGTAATTTATATATTCATTATTAAATTAATATATATGCTATATTATTGATATATTCATAATATTTTTTTATTTCATAAAAACTCTTTTTTTGCTCTCTTCAAGAGTGTATGAACAAAAGTCAAAGGAGATACATATTTCTGGAATTTACATTAAATATCTATTCTATTAATAAATTATATAACTAAAATTGTTTGATTATTTAATTCAAAATTTTATCTCATATATTTTATAAATTACGATAAATTTTCATTTTTTGTAAACTTATTCCTTTTTATATGTATTTATTAAATGAATTATTCTATTTATATATTCTTTATAACATTATATATTTTAATTAATATAAATATATTCTTCTTATTCTAATTATTGTAAAAAGTATTGAAAATAGTATAACTTTTCTCTATTTGTTAATATTGTGCTTAATATTTCAGGTACATTGTACATAACGATTCAATTATCAAAGCTTCTTCACACATTCCTTTTCCATAAATTTTTTCGGAGCAATGAATAAATAAATTTTTTATGTAAATACAAAAAAAATAATTTATATATTAACATATAACTTTTACATTATAAGTTTGTATCTTATAAATGCTTTAACTTAATAATTCTTTTTATACTGTATATTCATATTATTAAAATCTGATTAATTAAAGAATAATATGAATATTAACAAGGTAAAAAAAATCATAATTATAATTGTATATGCTAAAATGTAAAATGTTATCTTCTGTAGACATTTTCTTTCCGTTAGCTAGGCATAAATATAATCTTATTAGACATAAACAACTATTAACATTTAATACACGATTTATCTCTTTTTCTTATTTTTTTATATATATACCCCCTTAAACAAAAAAAAATATTAATGTATATGTACTTTTTTTTTTTTTTCAATAAAAGGGACGTGAATTACTGATTTATGTCAATTTGATGGTGCATAATTAAAAAAAAAAAATTAGTGATACATAATTAAATGAATAATTAGCACATTGATTTTTATTATATCTTCTCAGTACAAGCTATTAATTATTTATTATTATTTTTTTTTTTTCTTAATAATATGTTATTTCATTTATGTTTTTCAGTGGTATTAGCTATTAAAAAAATATATATTGAATAATATATAACATATAATAGTGAATTATACTGCATAATTCTTATGTGACAATGAAAAATTCAGACAAAGATCTATATAACAGAAAGAGTTATCATAACTTATTTAAATAAAAGGTACGTAGAATGAAATTATAAAATTTTTTAATCTAATATATAATGAAAGACGAAAGATATAAAAATCATATATAAAATAAATATTTTTATATTTATATATAATAAAAAGGAAATATATCAAAATCCAATAAATTACCTTCAAAATATATTTTACATAGGACCCAAATGTTGTAAAAATTATATAGCACTAATTATGAAATGAAATCATAATTACATACTTATATATATCATAATAACCTTATAACATTATAAACATGTATTCTAGTTTTGTCTTATATGAATACATAGGTTACAAATTCAGAATTTGATATGAATTAGAATATAAATTTAAAAAAATGATGGTATTACCAATATATTCTATGTATTTATTTAAATATCTATTAAACATATAAATCATGAATGAATATTTTTCTAAAAATATAAATACACATGAGTCAGTTAGACATATTAAAAAAGCCATCTGTATATATTATTTGAAAATAGTATTATAAAGCTCTAATATTTGTTTAATATAAATATATTTTCTCTTGCTCATGCATTACAAGCGCATATATGTAGAATTCGTATAAATATGCTTTTTTTCACAGCTATAGAAAACTTAATTTTCCAATGTTCTTAGCATTGTTACATACATTTTTTATTCCCTTTTAATTATATATTTATTGGTAATGTTAGTCAAGTGTATAATAAATTATATTCCCAATCATCTGAAATATTACTTCGTACATCATAATCCTTGAATGCATGCCATTTCCATATATTATTCCACTTATTTATTAACGTTTCTTTTGCACGATGTAAAAATGATCCATATGGAGTGCACTGCGCATAATACAAAATTATATAGGCATTAAAAAATATACTTTTTTATTTATTAATTTTTTCTTTTTTTTTTAAATTATTTAAAAAAACTTATTTTACAGGTTCTATAAAGAATAATACATGAATTAACCTTGTTCACGAACAAAAATAAATAATATATTGATATTATTGATATAATTGTAACTAAAATAGGGACTGCTTTATTAGAACTGCAAGAGGTTGATGCAGATGCTGCAGTAATATGAGTAACTTAAAGTTGAGCTTCTGTTTGTGCTTTTATTTTTTCTTGCATTTGTGATTCTATTTGTGCTTGTGTTTGTTTATTTTTAGCATCTAACATTATAGTAAGTGTTTCACAAAAAGGCATGTTTTTAATATGTCCATTCCTATGTTCCTTATTAATACACTTATGCACTTCATATATATATGCGTGTTTACTCAAAATGTCTTCTGCATTAGCAGTTTTATACTCATAGCATAATTTACCACTCCTCATAAAATTTTCGTACGCCTCAATCAATGCATCAAACAATTTTTTAGTTTCATTGCTTATGTTATTTTTCATAAGATTATGATATATCCAATAAAACAGGAACGAACATTTTCCTTTTGTGGGCTGTGCAATAAGATGTTTTATATATATAGAGGATATAAGTGAAATAGCTTGTTTGCATAATCCTATATATTGGGTTTCAGATTTATTAAAAATACTTGATAGTGCCTTACTACAAATTCCATCATAACTAACACTATTATATTCTTTATATCCAACCATACGAGTTTCATATTCGGAAAACTCTTTGATAATGTCCTCATACTAAGAGTAAAATTAAATTAGTAATATATTCAAATATGAACAATAATTCATATGTGTAATATTATATATACATAAAAAATGGAATATAATTGTGTTTTTATTTTTTATTTACATTAAAATAATTAACACATACATCAATATCCGCCATTTCATATATGATTATAACATTTTCAAGGAAAATTCAATATTTTAATGAAATATATGAATATAAAAATATCGGACCCAAAAAATAAAAACATAGCTTATAAAGAAACATAAAATTTCACTATGGTATAATTATATAATTCATATAATATTGTGATAGAATTTATGTATTTTTATTACATATACATCCAAAATATCGTATTTATTAGAAATGTAAAAAACTCCTTATTTATCGCCTTTATAAAAAAACCAAAACACAATTATATACATTATAAAAATTAAAAATGATACTTCCTGAAAATAAGTAATACTAGATGAATCAAAGATATAATCATTATATTATTTTCTTGTTATACTAAATAATAATTATATACAAAGATACCTAATAATATTAATTTTCATATATAAAATATATATTGTACTTGAATTTTTATACATTACAGTATTTTTTATAATTCTGCATTTTCAGTATAATGATTTGCATTATAATATATTACAACAAATATGATATAGGACTTCATATATAAAAAGAAGTATTGTTATTTATATATAAAAAATTATAGATTATTATATTGTTCCAACATGTTAACACGAATTAAATCTGAATAAGGAGGCTTCTATATTTTTAAAGCCTATTTTATCGTAAAAATTATAAGTGTTCATGATAAAATGTAATGTAGTATTATAAATATTATAGGCTTTCTTTCTGTATTCTAAATGTATAAATAAAAAATTTATAGAAAATTACAATTCATCATATATAACAATGCAAAGTTCAATATATCATCATTCGTTATACATTATGATTACGCACTCTTGGAATTTATAATAGTTTATCATTTTATTAATAATATAAATTTTAATGAAATATTAAGTCCAAATGTATTATTTTACTAATTTCCAGAACATAAGTGATTAATTTATTTTTAACTGTATTAAATGCACAATACAATTTTATTTACAATTCTTTTTATATTGTAATATATAATTATATATAAACATATGTTTCTTATTAAGTTTAGGGTTCAAGGTTTATGTTTCATGTTTTAGGGTACAGTTTTTAGGTTTTAGATCTTATTATTAATTTTTTTTTATTATTATTCTTTTTCGATTATGATACAGTAATTAATATACTTTGTTTATGTTTATGATTTGTGTTTCAATTTTTATGTTATATTGTTTTTTTTTAGATTTTATATTTAGTATTTAATGATTATGTTTTATTTATTTTTTTTTTTGTTTAGGTTATGGGTATGTTTTTATTCTTAAAATTATATTTTATATATTA